ACACTTCAAGAAAGAGAATACATTGCAAACAATAAATAGCATTGCATTTTTAATATCACTATTTTTAATATCAGATGTCTACTCTGTAATGCAGAGCAGAATTTGTCTGAATTTCTTTAGGAAGAAACTTCTAAGTAAGTATACATATCTGAAGATCTGTGCAAAAAAAAAAAAAAAAGAAAAAAAAAGAAAAGAGATCCAGACTTCAGTTATGGAGAAGGCAGAAGGCAACTAGACTCACTTCAGGGTAAAGAATTTAACTCATGTAAGCAAATATTTATTCCATACTTAGAGACACTGAATAAACAGCTACTGTACCTTTGAAATAAATGCAGCATGGTTCTTACAATCCTGCTTTGTACTGAAGGAACAAATTTTTAATAGGTTATCCAACAGTACTAAGCAAATAAAGTCTACTCTTTTAGTATTCTGTGTATCTTCAGTAATTGACAAGGCCAATTTTATTTTATTAGGGATGACTTCCTTTCTTTTTTCCTATATCTTACTTTCATTCTTTATCCTCCATATCCTCTCCTGTCTTTCCCTTTGCAGTTACAAAGCTACAAAAGTTGACAAAGAAAATTGCCTTGTAGCATAATTATTTTGTAGTAAGACACTCTCCAGAGATCAGTGACACAGTAGAACTCAACGTGAACAATATCTTAATCTTTTTCCTACTGCTATCATTATGGGCAGAATGCCTCTTTACAAGAATGCCATTTTTCTCAGTTACAACTGAGACAGACAAATTAAGGAATATACAAGATGTCCAAAGACCCAATTACTTTTATTCTTGAAAATAGAGATCCACTGGACGTTTTTTACATGATTTAGTTTGACTTATAGAAGTATCATTAATTTTAGTCAGATGAGAAACAACATTAGTTTGAAATGTGTATGCTGAAATTTAGAATGATTGAGTAATATATATATAAAATAAAGATTTGCCTTAGAAAGCTAAAGAGAAGCATAATTCAATCAGTCAGATTATAAGAATAAAAGAAGATATTAATGGAAAATAGAACTACAGCTTTTTGAAGATGTCAAAGAAAAGACAACAGAAGACAGTTCAGTAATGAAACTATAGGCCATAAATTAATTCTATTCTGGTTAAAGGCTCTCATGTTGAGAAAATATAGTTGTTGTTTTTTATGTAATGCCAATGCAAAATGCCCTTGCTAAATCATATAATTATCACAGAGCCGTGAAATAGGCAAATACAAAGAGTATGTATATTCCTCATAGTTAGGTAAATAAAAATACAAAGATAAACTGCTTATTCATTGTTGGTTTGGTAGTCTAGTCTTTATTTAGTGTGAATCAAGCTTCTTGATCAAATAGAGGACCAAAACCAACACTCCAGTCATACCCTAAACTAAGATAACAGTGATTTAGCACTATACTGGTACAATTGTTTAGAGGATAACTGATTTGGTTTTCATAGCACTATCAGAAAAAGGGATAACTCATCAAAATTGCATGTCATTTAGTCAGCACTTTGCAATGACAGCAATTGGTACCTAACTGTCATAGGATGCAGTCATGACAGTATTTTCTGAGGTTCCTTTTAGCATATATTCTCTAGATTTATCACCAGTGCATAGAAAAGGAACAATATAATTTTCTTTCATCTGTGTGACTGTGGGGAACCATAGCAGAGTATTATGGGAGCTGAAGTCAATAACTTTTCATCTATGTACCATTTTTTTACTTCATTGTTGTTGTATTCACAAAACAAAAAAACGTAGGTAGAGAGCATCCACAGGTAATTGCAAGAAAATAACATTAGCAGGAGATAATATATGCTAATTTTACTAAAAAGACTAAATAATTCCTAAATAATTACTTATAAATAATACGTTTATAATACTGAGATTCTCAGACAAAACTTTATAAGAATAATACTTCTCTTACAAAGTTTTGTCTGAGAATCTCAGTCCCAGATATCAAGTGAAAAATATCCTGTTGCTTTCAGTCAAGATACGATTTCAGTTTTTGATTATATTTTTATTCATCTCGGGAGATGTCTTATATGTAATTTGTCAGCTATTCTGTTCATATGTTAGCATTGCATTTTTCTATTCTTTGAGATTAATTTTATCAATAGTACAAAATGTAAAATGCAACCTAAGAAATCTATGAGTAACAGCTAGGGAAAGGATGTAGTTCTTTTCATTAGCATGCTACATACCATATTCAGTGTTTTTATTAAGTAAAAGAAATCCTGCCAGGATGTATTATAAAGTGTTAAGTTCAATGAAAATGAACATTCAAGCCAGTAAGCATTTCTATTACAAATGATGCATAAAAAACGATTTAAAGATAGTTTATATGACACACATTGGTTCTTTGGTATTATTTGACAGCTGTTTTACAAATGTACTTATTGCTCAGTTTATACATAAAAATAAATTATTTATACAAAATTATTTCAACCTAAGTTTAACTCTCTGTGGCAAGCACTTACTGTACAGTTCTGAAGAACTATGATGCTCAAAACGATGAAAAAATCATTGAACTGTCTTTGCTGATGATATAGATTTCAGTTCCCAAGGATTCCTATTCCTATTGCAGAAGAATAGCTATCCAAGCAGTCACTGAACTGAACACTTTGAAGCTAAAATAAGTCCGTAGGACATGTGAAAGATAACCACATGTGAAACTCTGTTTCTTGTGTGTTTAAGTCACAGCTGTAGCTATAAGTCTCTGTGAAACTGCACGTAAGTCTTGCTTCTTTGTTCTTTGGCTCTATGAAGTAGTTGCTGAATAAAGACAGGCCAGTCTCTGTTCTCTGCTTAAATATTTTGCACTAACTAAAAAAAACAAACAGTCCTTAAAAAAGATGAACACATGGACTGGCAAGAAGAAGTAAAGCAGTTCTTTCATTTTAAAATTATTCCATGCATAGTCAATGGTCCTTTTAATCTTTGTGCTTTAGATGATGAGGATTTAATAGCCTCTGCAAAGTTTTCTCTTAAAATGTCTGTTCTGGGAACCTGTTTTGATATTCTGAAGAAACAAGTGCAATCTTGATGGGATTAGTCTCTACAAGGATTTTGGCACGTCTACACTACAGACCTGATTTTGTAATGTAACTCACAGCCATTGCTAAGTAGAACTCTCAATACTTGTGATATGCTTAAATTGAAGTGTGTTCTTGAATTATGCCTGTGGTTTGGTATGACCATTATTCACTGTCCTCTGAGTGGGAATGAAGCAACTGTCAAAGTTGCATGGGAAATGCCAAAGAATTAAAGTTTTATGCATTCTTCATCTTCATTCAGATTTAATCTGAATTTGGAAGAAAGTACTGCCTCATATATAATTCCATGAAAACTACAAAAAATACAGAGAGCACAATAACACTATTTGATAGAGCAAATTCTCTGCTTCAAAACAGTATTTTTCAACATACCATGTGTACCACTAGTACACAACCACTAGTTATGTATTTTTGTCAACGATGAACAAGAGTCTGCATGCCATGTTCATAGAAATCCGCACCAGTGGAGGTAACCCACTGTTGCTGTTAGCACTGCTGAAATACACCACCCACTGCCCACTGCCTCACTGTGCTCACATCCACTGTTTGGTCTCCACAAACATTCAGAAAGCATCCATGAACATCAATGGACACCATTTTTTCTTTGCTTCATATGCACTTCCATCATTTTGTCACACCTCCCTGCTGCTGCCATCTATCACGCTGCATCAAAATGTAATGGAATACTGGTGGGAAGGTTCAACCTCTACTGCCATACCACAAACATCTGCTTCTGACATCATGGGCCAATATCATAAAATAGGAGGCTTTTGGAGCATCCTTCATATAATTACAAGCTTCAATTTCAATACCGGAAAATAAATCTTGTAACTTGGATTGTTACTGTGCACAATTAAAATATTGTCATTTTTTCACCCTCTTCCAGTTACTTAGACAATTATGATGTAACTAACTTTACTTAGGTGAAGGTGAAAGATGTATTTCAGCTTAAAGCATAAAGAAATTAACACACTTGTAGAGGGAGCTTGATTTTATTTTGGAAAGTTGAGAATTTCACCTCTCACATTCTGTTTTAATATCAGCTAGATACAAAAAAAGAAAAAACATTACGCCAAAACAAATAAAAACAAGGATGATCATACAATTACGTGAAAAAGTACGGAAATCACAATGAAAATATTACTTCTTCAAAACACCTGCAGGGAAAAATACCTTTTAATTAGGTTGAAACTACTTATAGTTAAAAAATGATTCTTCTAGGCAAAATGAAGTTTAAAATGCTGTTTGACTATTTAAATCTACATTAGATACAATAAATGTAGAAGATATTTTTTCGAGCCAACTATATTTTTTTTTATTATTATTCTATGCTTATTTTGTCGAGCAATCTGTCTTTTTTCAACATGGTATGATGCAATTCATAATATAAAGACTTGAATGACAGTGTAATATGTGTGGAATATGTAATATGCAATTCTTTGAGAATATGTGTGGAATTCATAATCTGCTTAAATTCCTAGTTAGAGCTTTAATAGGTAAACTCAACATTATTTTTTAATTACTGTGTTTTCTTTTGTTATGTTATAAATTTAAGTATGATATGCCCTTTATGTAAATACAACTAGATATTTTTTTTTTATTCCCATGTAAGTGAAAAGAGAGGAATTTTATGAAACATAATCACTTTGTATGGATTGGACAATCACCAAATATTCAGTGTAAAAATCTTTGGGTTTAGACATGATAAATCAGAATTAAGTATAGTTAAAGAGATTTCAGAGTACATTTCACAGATATGGTCTGTCAAATCTCAGTCAAATACTGTCAAAGTATACTACATCCCAAAGAGGCATCAGAATACATAAGACTCAGCTGGTTTTATGATGTACCATTGAGAGGTTAAAAATTCTGCTAGAAGGAAATCAGCTGTTTGTCATACAGTTTACCACAACAACTGCACTGACTTGCTTGTGCATATGTATTTTTTTTCCTCTAGGCTGTACTTTGGAGGTACAAATTTTCCCAGCTCAAAGGTTCTTCAGATGATGGGAAGAGCAAAATCAAATTCCTTTTCCAAAACCCAGATAATAAACAAATTGAAGCAAAGGTAAAAACAACTTTTTTTCTTTTATAATTCTACCTTAAAACATCTATTAAAGCAGCAGCTGGGAGACAAGATGAGTAAATCAAACTAAATTATTTAAAAGTCATTCAATGTTTGAAGTGAAAATAAAACCAAAGAAATCTGAATAAACTGAATTTTTGGTAAGTTAAAGTCTTTTACAGAGTGCCATTACATTAAAGAAAAAAAGAAAAAAAAAAGACTTGCTGCATTTAGGAGTATTTGCCAAGTCTGTTAATAAAAGAGAATGGCTGAGAATTTCAATGACCTATCTTTTTCTCTACACTTGGTATCATGAAGAAACAGTGCAAAACATGCTTGAGTCAATTTGGGCAGAAAATACAGCAAAGATTTAACATTTGTTACTACAGCTCAATAAAAAATATTACAGATTAAACATATATCCTCTTACAAGAAGATGGCATTGAAGCTTTTTGTCTTGGTCTATTTTAAAATTCTGTTTCGAGTTGTGCTTTTGATTCAGGACTTTTTTTTAAAATCAGTTACCCTGGAAGATTTATGCCTAATTTTATGAATATATTTTCAGAATTTATTGTCCCAGTATGCATAAGGAAGTGGTCTTCCTGGGAACATTGAAACTGCCTGAGAGTCTGAATCAAAGGTCTTTTTCATTAGAATCCCAACATTTTTGTAATCCTGATTATGTTTGCTTGGATGTGCTTTAAAGCTGGCTTTTGAAGCCCTTACTATACTGTTTTCTCAGCTATTTATTTGATTTTAAATGATATATTCAATATAACGAAGGTATACAAAAACTCCTATTAAATCAGTAGAAATGAAGTGTGGTAGGCTTTCAGTACATTCATCTTTTTCTTCACTCTTATATAAGAATGTAATAAGAATATAATAAGAATATAAATATTCTTATTTCCTTCAGCAAATATTACAGTAGTACCGAATTTCTTTTCTTCACTAATAAAAGCCATAACTTAACACCCTAAAGTTGTGAGGATGATTTTCTTTTAAGCAAATAATGGGAAACTTTTACTATGCTTCTAAGTATAGCTGGAAATTGAAACTCATTATTTCTTTTCTTACATTTATCTCGTATTGCTATTACATGGACACAAGATTTTAGAACTAATTTAATGATGCAATATTTCTTAGAATTTTCTTTGGAATCCAAGAGTCGAATAGTGATGTTTTATTTCATCAATTTAAAAACAACGCATAGTTACAAATCTAGATGTTGAATAAGAAACATGGTTTCATCATTTTATTCTTTTTTTTTTTTAATTAAATCTGTCATGCTAATCACTTTTTAAGTCTCGGAGATATTCTAGTATTTTATAGTACTGTTGTTCCCAGTTAAACTGAACTGAGCTTTATTTCTAGGAAACTTCACCTTTCCACCTTTTATCAAAGTAGAAGTTATACCTCTAAATTATGAAGGAATAATATTGTACAAACTTACTAGTATCCTAATTAATATACTGACATGTTCTCTAGCTGCTTTTATTGATTATAAATTTAATCTTTCAGGTTTATCAATTTAGAAATATCTATATACATAATTTTCTTGATACTCAAAGCAAGTCAGTTACATTATGATGAAAAATGTCAGATTGTATTGTGTTTGGACAGTGTTATAACATTTATCAACTTCCTATTTGCTTAAGTACATTGTTTAGTCTAAAAACTATAAGATACACTTGTCTGAAGAAAGAATGAAAACATTTTTATGTCATATTTTTTAACTTTGGTTAGCTTAAAATTCTGTGAATAGGCCTCTCTGCATCCACTGAACCTTTCAAGTATTTAAAGCACTATTCAGCAAGAAAAGATGCAGAATATTTATTTTTTGGACTTTATTAGCATTACAGAACTGGAGACATATCTATTTGGGAAACTCTCTAGTCATTAAAAAATGTTAATCAGATTTTAAGAAATGCTTGTAATGCCAGGTTTCATGCATGCTGTATGCAGGCTTCATTTGGAATCAGATGATGGGAATTTTCTCAAACAGCTGTTAAAGGTTGTGATGAATATTCATAGCAAAAGCTATCACCACCTGTTAAATGAAATTCTGAGCTGCAGAGCCTGGAGACCTGCTGTTGTAAGGAGGATATACAGGGTAATGTTTTATTGAAATAAGTACAATTGTCTGCCTATTATATTATGTAGGGAATATAGTGGGATGAGGACTTACAGCTGAGACAAAAAATTCTAAGGAGTCATCATTACCTCAAGTTGTTAGGGTTTTTCATTTTTGCATTCTCAAACACTAGTGAGAAACCAGTGTGGCAAGTAACTGTGGTACAGCTCAATAAGGTACTAGAAGTGAGAATTGGTTTTTCCTCTTCATTATCAACATTATCGTGCTCTATGCAGAACCTGCTATGGTGTGCGCATGCTTGATTTGAGACTCCTGCTCTTCTTGTTCTGCAGTACTTTTCCTCCATCTCTGAGTTTCAACTGTGCTGCTGACAAGATACGTTTAAAGTTTCTAATGTGCTATAATTCAGTTTCACCTTGCAAACGTAAAATGGTTCAGTTACAGACTGATTGATTGATTTCCAGTAATACTGGTTTAATCCTAGAATTCCTTCATGTAAAAATGTGAGTTATCAAAATCCAAATGCTTCCTTTCTTCACTTTATGTAATGCTGCACATTTGTGTGCAGCCTGTACAGTTATGGCTTGTTGTGTCTGTGTGATAATATTCTTTATATCTCAAATATTTACTCATGACCTAAAGGATTAAGAGTAGTAGAGTGTTGAGGTAGTTAATGTTGATTAACATTTAAAAAGAAAAATAATTATGCGGCAGTGTTTTAAATTTTAGCCTTAGTGACTTTATAGTTTCCTCTTTGTTCTGATTGAATATAAAGAACAATAGTTTCTAGTGTTACGAAATCTGAGATTTTTTTTGAAAAAGAAATGCAGAACTACATGCTTTCATCAGTCAACTTTTGTTTCTGAAAAACACACTTGCCACCAGAGTTTACATTCCTAAGTGAAAGTCCTTCACTGGCACAGAAAACCTAATATTTTTATAACACTGTCAAAATATTTTAGTGTTTTTCATGCCTGACTTAACAAAATTAAAAATGGCATGTTTTGAGATGAACAACATATGCTTTATATTTGGTTACTGTTTAATTAGAAATACTTCTTTCAGGCTCAAAAATGGTTTAACATTTAAATTTAGAGACTTTGTACTGATGTTTTTGTTTGGCCTCTCTGAAACAACAACATGCTACTGTAAAGATGCATAGTATAGAATAAGGGAAGTGTTTCCTTGTAGACATGAACAATTGCAGTCTGAAAAACCTGAACAGTAATTACCATAGGTCACACTGGTGGTCAGTGGCACTACCTGCCAATCAAACACCTGACTTTGAAGGTCTCAAAGTTAAGGTCTAAGTAGTTTCTGAGATGTAAACCATTTAGAGGCAACATTAATCACCAATACCTCTTAGACGTTCCAATCTGTAGGTTATTTCCCAGCTGTCACTCAGCAGGAGATATTGCACAGGTTTGCACAGTCAGACAGAATTTTTCTGACTGAGAGCTACAAAATAGAGCAGTTGGCATGGAAAAGAACATGGAGCCTATGTGTCCCTCTGCTTCATCCCTGTTGTGCTGCTCTGGTTGCATTGAAAAATATTAATGGCAGATCTTTCTTTTCAATTATATAACATAGAGGAGATACATTATGCATCCTGCTATCTAATTACCTATTTCTTTAGCTATAACTTCATGATCTGTTAATGGCTTTTCAGCATTAGAGCAGCCTCCAGAGGCTAATGGAATTTCAGCACTGTAATAAACTCAGAGTACTATAATCTTCTGTTGTACCTGACTGAGTAGTGGATCACTGCAATGGAAACAGTTTTATGTTTTTCTGAGAAAAATGTCTTAAACCTATGAAAGATTCTGTTTCTATACATATAGACTCCCAAACATTGCCGTATCCAGTGTCTATATATCTAAAGCAGAATTGTTGCTGGTTTTTTTTTTTGTTTGTTTCTTTTTGTCATCTTTTTTTACTACATACCAATTCTATTTGAATTTTGTAAGTAAATATAATAACCAGGAATTTCTGTAAACTGAAAGGTTGTGTGCCCCATTGCAATGGCAAGGATTTGATGCCTAATAAAGTAGCAACAGGCCTACACAGTTGGACTGAGAAAATGAATGTCCTTCTTACATTTCAGCTCTGCAACATAAAGCATGATGTATATCTCAAAAACTATTCTCTCTGTCCTTTTACCTTTCTGAACTTGCAAGGATTTTTCACAGCTTAACAGCTTTCTCAGCAAAACTCGGCCAAGGTCACACAGCTGTGCTGTTAGCTTTTGTTCACAGACTAGCTAATGCCCTAAACTAAGTGTCATGGAACAGTGGTGAGCAGCACATGAAGATGAAGATCTGGTCAATTGGGAAAAACTGTGGTGTCAGCAAAAGAAGGTGCATAACTTTAAAGATCTGGCATTAATATGGAGTAATGAATAATGCACTAATAACAATTAATGGTAATTAATTTGAACTTGAAACTATTCCATATAGAAATTGAATATAAAATAAGACAGCCTGCATTAGAGATGTAATGTGAACAAAATGCTTGCCTTCTGGTGTGTTGTAAGATATCTTGATGAATGCTTGCACTATTTTTCAGGCTGATATTTCTGGTCATTTCAAGTATATTCTCCAAAGTATAATTTTAATTTAATCCTTGTTCTTAGCCTTGAGGACTTTTCTGTGAGCATCACAGTGCTCTTCAAGTTTAGAATTTCAGCTTTAAATGGGTTTCAAGTATCTATCCTTAGTATTTTTACGGAGTGATTGCTCAATTGCAGTGACTGCCTTCTGAGTTCAGATTTTTGAACTGTTTGGGTTTGCATGACTCAGTTTTTAGTTTTCCCATGTCTTGCTCAAAGGCTGTATTTTTTTGTATCTGTTTAAAATCACATTCTACCTTAGTATATAGACATTTGATGAAGCAACAAATATATTCACATATCAGCAGTTTATATGTAACAATACAACGTTTTTTTTCTGAATCACAAACTAACAGTTTCTTGAGTTTGCATACATAGAGTTTAGGTAGCTGTGACATTAATATAATGAAAAGTAGCTGATTTTTTTTTTTCTTTTATCTGACAACATTATCTGTATTCGTTTTTTCCATATTTGTCTTCTTCATCTTTTGTTGGCTTACATTGTCCTATGCAGAAACAGTGAATCTTCAGATTAATAACCTGAGAATATCTGGTACAATGACAGCAATGTTGAGTGAAAGTAGTTTGGTCAAGAAGGTGGGAGGATGATTTGAAGATCAAGATCAAGAGGATACACTAATATTTCAATCTTGAAAGTGGAATAAGAGTAAATTGTGGTTTTGTGCATGGATAAGTAGTTGTGGCTTAAATTTGGATTTCTTTGCTTTTTTGTGATTCAGAGCATCTGCTTTTCCCTACAGCTTGCAGATGTAATAGCTTGACAGAATATTTCTTCAGGTTTCTTAGGATTTATTTGTTTGTTTACTTGAAGCTGTGTGTGCAATGTGCACTACTTTGCTAGATAAAAGTGTGTTCAGACAAGCGTATGACTGACAGCAGAGTACTCTAAATACGAAAACAACTAGGGACAGTTAGATGTGCAGAAAAGTCTGTGGGTTCTCCTCCGTTTTATGGCAGTCCTGCAGACCTATGGCGATTTGAATGTGCAAGTTCTCAACAGAAGTTGAGGGAATGTTTTGTCTGTCAGCAGTTCTCTGTGAGCCTCTATCTGTTCATTAAATTTGATTGTGACAAGGCTAATCTGCCTGGAAACTGTTGTTCCTGATGAATCCCTTTGCATCAATCTTACTCCCTTAAATTCAGCTGCAGCTATTAATCAGACATTTATAAACTCATCACATACCAATATCAGCCCACTGTGTTTCCCACTGCTTCAAATTCCACTTTTAATGTGAACTCTGCTTGTAACAGAGTCAGCATGTGACTTTTTTAGCCTCTGATCCACATCAGCTGCTGGGGAAATAGATGTGATCACAAGAGTGTGACTTCTGCCCTGCACAGTAACAACACAAGCCATCAGTGTCTTTAAGTAGCTTCATAGAATTTGGTTATATGCATGTATTTATGTCTTCTAAATAAGCTGCATTACTTGGATCCTCTACCTAAATCACCTTAAATGCATGTAATTTTTTAAATTGTGTGATCAGAGAGATATCATTAATTCGCTGCATGATGTACCCATTGACACTGAAAGAATTATGTTTCATGGCAAGTAGTATCTAGAATTCGTTGACTTGTTAGTGCTCATCTTTACTATCAAATTAATTTATGTAATGTTTCATTGCTAATGGCAGTAGCAAACCATTGGGACCTTCAGCAGTTGTGCCATTTCCTCACACGTTTTCATTGAAGGTCTGTTGAGCAGTGGATCTTCCCAATGTGTTACTGTTGCAGAAACACCTGTGTCAACTAGTGATAATAACTGTATTAATGCACTGTGAAAATTCAGTGTCCAGCAGCCGTAATTATGATGTACATAAGAACTTTCAGCAATAGGATTACCTAATTGACTCGAACAATTCTCAAACTGCAATATTTGTTTTAATAGACTTGTTCTGTGGACACATACGTGGAAAGACAGTTTTTCCAAATATAACACAGAGCTGACATCACAAATATTTGTAAGATCCTCTAAATATTTATATTTTCATCTTAAACCTTAGTATTATTTTATAGTACTAAAGGATAGATGTTATTAATAGATTGCAAATGAAAAGTAACAATTTGAGCGGCTGATGCTTCTTATTCAGACATAGTTTCCTTAATTCCTTGTTTCCTCATCTTTGACTTTCTCCTATTTTTCCCATCTATGATAAATTTTCTTATTTTGAAATTTGGATAGAAGGGGAAGAAATCTCTGGCACTGTAACAAACTACACTTTTCCTAATGTTTAAAAATGAAAGTATCTCTGAACAGAATTTTTTTAATGAATACAGATGGCAGGTATGCGAAACTTGGCTCAAACTTCATCATCTTTATTGTGAATTGCTACTTAAGGGAGTTTAAAGAAGCTTGTAAGCAATTAAAAAATCATTCTGAACATTTCCAAAGGACATCTGCTCAGGTTGTAAGAGAGTTGAGCAGAACTCCACCTGTTTCATACATTGCTGGGATACTCTGTGTATGTAGTCTTCTGCTTTCAGGCAGTTGTTCCATCTCACACATAAGGGATTTCTGAATGTCTGCACTAAGCTTTTAAAGCAATATCTTCCAGAAAAACTCAAGAGGAAGGCTCATGTAATTTTTAGAATTTTACCTTTTTTTGTTCTTGTTAGATTCACGATACTATCAATATTTCTTTATACAAAAGCAAAGCTGTCAGCACTAAATAACCTGGAAATATCAGTACTAGACAAAAACACAAATAGGATATACCACAGTTCGCTGTTCCTGGTTTCAGTGCAGAAATCTACATAGGCAGTGAATCAAAGCAAAAAGATCATAAATCTGCATCACCATCCCTACGTGCATAACATCAGTGTCTGCTTTCAAACACAGTACGTTCTTATTGATTAAATGCTAACATCAAAAAACCATACTGAAGAATTCCTAGAAAAAATCCATCATCATTATGATCCCATTGATAAGATAAAATCAATGAGACACAAAGGAAAACATTTATATGTGTATATATATATATAAATTTGTTTTGTTTTGTTTTCATCTTGTTTCTAAGAAAATCTCATCTGAGGAGCTGTAAAAAAAAAAAAAACAAATTTTACAGTAGCAAATTAAAGTAGAAGAAAAAGAGCTTTCTCTAATATTTTTAATAAGATCAAAATTCCAAGTATGTTCCTTACTTTTGGTACAGTAAAAATAACTGCCTCAGTGAAAACAGAGCCAGAATATCTCTGTAGTAGCACTTTATGAAGTTTTTTGTTTTCTTTTCTTTTTTAACTAAAGATTAGCGTAGGTGAGATAGTAGTTACCACTGTGTGGTGACATGACAGATAAACATGACATATGTAGAACTCAACGTTACTGATCTTTGTGGGTACACGCAGCAGTAACCCAGAGGTATGTAGACACAATGCACTCATTCCATTGATTGATTTATTAAAAGAAATCAATCTGCAAAATGCACCAGATTTGCATATTTGTATATGACTGTCACATTCCTTCCTCTTTAGCAGGCAGAACCTCATACTTCTGTGCAGCCACTTTACTCAGAAATTTGTTCATATTAGCTTCCAAAAAAATATTTATGGAATAAATAACGCTGTCCCTTAAGTGCCTGTAATCTAGAACTATCAGATACATCAGCAGGATCACATCAGACTATTTCCATTTAAAACTCAGTTCATTCCTAGGTGCATGTTTGTGATGTCTTCTTTTGCTTCATAATTAATCTTTCTTTTTTCACTTCCAGGAGCTGGAGTTTTCCAACCTGTTTGCAGTCCTTCATTGTATCCATTCGTTCTTTGCAGCCAAAGTGGCTTGTTTGGACCCTTTGTACGTAGGCAGTCAAGCAACAGCTTCTGCTGCTCCCACAACTTCTGGTACTGGCAAATTAAAGTATACAACTTGATATCTCACATTACAGCACTGCCATTTATCAAAAAGACTTAATGTATAGATATTCATAAGATGTGAAACTGGTGAACCTGTACATGGAAACCAATTCTGGAGACAAGACATCTTGCAGCGTCAGCAGATAGATGGTCACGTGGGATCATAAACTCATTTCTGTTCTGCAAGACACCAGTAAATAATCCTCGCAGAATCCCCAGAATAGGATGGATATGCTTTTAGTATGATCTATTTGTACTTATTTAGTGCTTTAACCAACACTGGAAGCAAAGGAATAAATGATGCAATGAGGCATTTCGGTATTTAATAAAATTTTCAAATTGCTGTAATAACACACAAAAAGAATTGTCATTTTCCTGTTTTCAAATGTTTTTATGACAATATGCTAAACTCTGAGTATGAACCTAGTACCCAATGATTATATTATAAATTACATAAGAGAAAGCGACAAGCATTTAGTACATAATGATGAGGAGATGAGCATGAAAAGACATTTGTGTAAGTATTTCTTCAAATAAGAAAGCACTTTAAGCACCGTTGTAATCCATAATTATTTCCATACATGGAGTCATGGTACTTTTTCTATTTTGTTCTTTTAGCATTAGCAACAAATATATAGCCATATTGACTGACACAGTTCAAAACAAAAACCCTACAACCCCACTTCCATGAGTAAGTTCCTCTTCTTCAATTAAAAATATTATAATATTACTTTAAACGTAATGACAAGTGAAAGTTCGTAAAATATCATTTCTACTATTTACTTCCTCAATTTTTTGGAGAACTAAGGATCTGATTTTTGCTCACATGATACAGATGTTGTATTTGCTTCAGAAACAATCCACATAATGCATTGTTTCCATTATTAACCTTGATTTCACATCATAAGGTCTCAAGAAAATAGACATTCAATATTATTTTTGAAAAATGAGTCAAACCATTGAATTGGTAGTGATTTCTTTTTTTATATTATTATTAAAAGACAGGAATAAAATAAATAGCCTTTAATGATGGAAGCAATGACAGAACGCATACTGTCTTTGTGTATTAAAAAAATACTACATCACCCATGACCATATAACAGAAATAGTAGTTCCAGGGTCTCATTTAATGATCAAATCTGAAAGAATTTTACATTTATAACTAATAACTTATAAAAATAATTTAATGTTGTGCTACTACGTATCAATGAAAATGGCAAAAATGGTGGAGTTATAGCTGAAAGATCAAAAAAAGGTTTGTTTGTTTGTTTGTTTTTGCAGACAAAAAAAAAGGCTGCAAAAAATGCATTTGTTGCACATTCAGAATGTGTAGAATATTTTAAATGATGCTTTCTGGGATTTCTACTTATAATATTGAAATCTATATTTCCTTTTTTTCCCTCTTCTTATAAAAGCACATGGAAGGTAAGAGTTAAGGATACAATCTCTCTTGTGTAACTGGAAGACAAACTATTTTCCATCCATTTTTACATATTAAAAGAAGAAAAAAATCAGCATTGAATCCAGAGGAAAGCTTTTTCCAAATGGGAGCAATTCAAATGTTAAGTAGGGACAAAAGATGAATGAACTGTTGGGGTAAATCATGCATCTGTCTTTTTGCTTTGCAGTAGAGGTATTTGGATTTATGTGTGTTAGAAAGCGTCCTTGCAAAATGGAGACTGAAGGTAAAGTTGATTCTAGTTCAAAACAATCTGAAAATGCATTTTCTGGGAATTCTTTGTCATTGTCGCAGGACTACCAGTATGTTCTTACTCCTTAGTAGAACTCCAAGTATTACAGGATTTCATAATTGTGTTCCACATTTATTTTCCATGTTACATACAATGGAATCATGTCATAATCCAATGATTAAATGTTTTAAGTGTCATCAAAATCCGACATTTTCATAGTCATTATCCTGTTTACATGAATCTTTCCTAAATAAGGGGGTTAGATCTTAGTCTCTGCATGACTTGTGAAACTGCTGTGGCTATTGAGTTTATTCCTGAGAGATTACAGGCCCCAAATGTTTTGAATCCAAAACTGCAACTTTCTGAGAAGTTTGCTGATGACAACTCAGATGTTCTTCTCGTCAAAAAGGCATGTTCTGGAAAGACAGTTTTGACAGACCACTGTCAATGATGAAGCTTTGTATTCTGTGCTCCCAAATCATCTCATTCTGGTGAGCATTGCATTCAGACATCCAGTACAGGCATGTGAATGTCTCTCTAAGTGCTCTGGTGGTAGTAGAGGAATCTAAAATTAATCAGTTGAATGTTTTCCCTTCAAATAGCTCAGATGATGTGCACAATGGCACCATTGAAACCAAGGGTTATTTAAGGGAGATTGTTTAATATGGTTAAGTGAGCATAGCATTTATCTGAAAGAGCAGAAACTATGCTGTTGCAAATTGATGTAGATTAAGGTTTTCCATAATTTGACAGAAAAATAAATAAATAAATAAAAGTTGCTACTTGTGCAGAAATGTCTTTATGCCATGCACTTTTGGGGCCTGGACTCTACCAGGGTGTTCTACAGAACTGTCATGTATTTTGTTTGTAGAAACGCTGTATTCATCAATGAGAATTTTTTTTTTAGTTGGGCATTGGATACACAATATTTAAGAGGCAAATAGACACACAAAAAAAGAACCTGCAATTTTTATATTTGTTTGTGTTTTGAAACTCCATATTTCAAAGACCTGAACTTGTGAAGCATAATATTTTTAGTTTCAAGAAAATAAAGGTGACCTTGGGAGAATATAAAATGCCGTGGCCTTGACTACAGGTCAGTACTGGCTTTTAAGTGTGTGGTTCTGAGGGTCTTTGCACTGACCTCTGATTATTCAGAGGTGGCTGCATCAGGCTTGCCCTCTCGTAGCAAGTAGAAGAGAAATTCAGCCTTGAACCAATGGGAAAATTTTAAAGTCTGTGTCAGGAAACAGGAAAATGTAATTTTAGTGACTATGTTTTTTATTTAAATACAAGAAGACTCCAAATTAAAGCATAGTTAACTTCATATGCATATGTCAAAACCAACCTCTATGTTGCAAGCTATCATTTAATATATCAAATATAATGAATACAAGTATTTTGTAAGTCAGCATGGCCCACTGATTGCAAAGAAAAACAGAAAATTATAATAAACTGTCAGCTCTTACTGAAAATCTGTATGCAAATAAAAGCAAATATTGGAAAAAAAAAAATAAAAACACAACAAACCTTATTTCCCACAAAGTAAAATGTAGTTTTTCTTTATGACATCATAAATAAGTTAAATTAAAAAGTATATGTCTTTATACTTAGTACTGTGCCTATTGAAATGATGTTATATAACATACCGTAAATATACATTCCTCAGTACACAAAACGTATTTGATTTAATTTGCTTTGCTTTATGATGGAAATTTTAGATAAGCTGACCTCCACAGAATTAACCATATGTTAGGTTATAGTGTTATCATAATTTTGTTATGAACGTGTTGCAGATCTGTAGACAAGTTATTCTAGATTTCATAGGTGAATGAATATATTTCATTTCCTATATCTGTTTAAAAACACAGTTCCAGAAGGCACTTTTGAAATAAAGATCAGGATATTATAAAATATTGGTCATTTTATTTTCTTAATAAAGTGCAGCAAGAAGTTTGTAAATTGTAAGCCAGTTATTTTTTAAAAGAAATAATTTGACATTTTGGCTGTTTAAACTAGAATTCATAAAAATGTAATATAATAATATACAGTATCAATATACTTTGAGATGAGATTCCTGAAACATATTGTTTTCCAGCTTAGTTCTTGATCCCACAGAAACTTTGCTTTATATTTATTTTATATGCTCTGACTTTATCAGAATATCTCACAGTGCACAGACCATGAGTAAGTCATTGTGGTTACTACTGCTTTTTCCTTTAAATATGATTTCTTTTATGCATTGCCTTAAGATGTTTCTTACATCAAGAGAAATATTAAAAAGGCTAAAAATCTCATGAATGTATAGTTGCTGCCCTTAAAAATTCAGCAGCTTTATAACATATTGTTGTCCAAGTACCCCCAGTATTCTCAATGCCAAAAAGAAAGTACAATTTTCATCCTGATATAGCAATGCCAAGTCAAATGTAAATGTATTAATATTAAACACTCACCTATGTACTGCACTTTTAGTTCCCTTATAGAATCTAGTCCCTGAGAAAGTGTTTTGTCTCAAAAAAAAAAAAAAAAAAAAAAAGCTAATTTTAATATGTTCATCTTTGGGGCAACTTAAAATGTTCAAATTTGGGCACTCACCCAAGTTACTTAAATTTAAATACCTATCATCCCAAGTTACTTAAATTTAAATACCTATCATAGACACCTAGGATAGGACTTGAAGCCCTCAAAATGGCAGGGCAGAGCCGTTTTGAGGTAGGACCATGACTTAGCAGCTCTTAAGGTGTGTGTCTCCCTGGTGTGATGAAAGAGGTGCAGCCACTTTTGTGTGTTCACTTGTTTTAGGAATGTGCTTTTGAAGCCAGTTTCCTGCCCTTTGCCTGTTACTATGTTGTTCTTCATTTGCCAGAACAGTCTTTAAGCACATGAACTGGAATTTTAGGCTAAAACTAAATCAGCGTAACACCAATAGTTCCAACTCCTAAGGGGCTTTCAGCTCGTACAACCTAACTAAAACAAGACCAAAGCCAGAATTCCTTTAAATTGCTACAGCTGCTGGATTAAGGTGAGTGTCCTTTCTGCACAGTGGGTGATGCCCATGTAGGATGGAAGTACCTCCTTCATTTACAGAAGGTGACTGGCAGATGTCCAGGCTAGGTTCATCTGCATTGCCCTCTTCCATCACTCCAAAGGGAAATAAATAAGGTTACATTATGCTGCTCAGCCCTCTCCCTGCTGCGTCTCTCTTCCTGTCTATCAGAAATGCATACTTTAAAATTCACTCAGAGTGCTCCAAGAACACTGCCCCATTCTCTTTGCTCTATGCAGATAGCGGAGCTGCACTCACTCAGCTATGTAAGGGAGCCTCTAAATCTGTAACATAGTCAGGGGACAATATTCAGGCGTTATGGCAAGGGCATCTGTGTACCAGAAGAGTGTTGTGGTCTGTGATCAACATTCAGAGTAAATTGAGTAGTCATCTTCAAGCTTTCTTGGCTAGGAGGGCTCTTAAGTGCAATTTTAGTATTCCTGGAATAAGGTCCATAAGGTCAATAAATTTTTATTTATTTGGCTCCATTCTCCCATTTTCAGGAAGTTTAGTGAGAATAGCAATTCATATTCTGTCAGAATCAGATGGAAAATCAGGGATACTGAAATAAAAAAGAAATTTCTATTCAGATTCTGTAAATTGTTACAGTACATTACATACTCTGTTAAAATATATTGAACAATGTAAAACTAAATGCATTCATTTAGCTAACCTAGTCAGTTTTCATTGCAACGGTATGCACACCTCCCACTTTCAACAACTCACTACGAGAATCTCAATCATGTGTTACAGAAATGGCTTTATTATTGAGTATATACTAATATATAATGCATAGTGTGTGTGTATTTGTGTGTGTGTATATTAGTATATACTAATGGAAAATATTCAGTATATATTAAAGAAAGTTCCATATTGGGCACAATTATAAAACAGAAGCATAAATCCATTAAGCTTTACATTTAAAATCTTAATCTTATATTACTATAAAGAAAAATGTGTATATTAGTTGAAGAAATGGCTATTTTTGCAGAACATGCACAATCTGGATATATGATAATAAATTAATGAACATTAACTGATTTACTATTTCATACCTCCAGGAATT